CCAAGAAAATTTTATGAGAGAGTACGGCAATGATTATTTGAACCAATAGACTTATCCCTATAGTCTTGATTGATCCACTTATAATTATGCCTAGGAATGATCCACTAGTGTCATGCTAAACAACTATAGGCCAACCTATTTACCACTCTTAGAAAACTCAAGGAAGGTTTACTTTTTCTCACGGTACATAGAACAACTCATGGAACCATTGGAATAACTTATGGAATCATTGATAGGTTAATATTAATCCTATTAACTCAAAGTGTAACCTCGAGTTGCTAATGTGCTTCACTCACGAGCCTAAGCACAAACTCGTGTATAATGGTACATCTCAGTCCTTCTTAGGAGCCCAAGAGCAAACTCATATAATAAGGTACAAAAATGCAACCAAATCCATACCCAAGAAACAAATGTGAAGCCTTTGCACCCAAACGTGTACCCACTCGGATCATCATTTTCATCTCTACATATTCAACGAAATTAGTTGCCCAATCTCATTGGATAGTATTTACTAAGACTCATCCTCTGATACTAATTGTAGCGCATGTGGTTTTCACCCTTTATCCTATGGTGATTTACCATAGGATAACCACGAAGCGGAACCTAAACCCTCTATATACCATGTGTCACATGCCACGTGTCCAAAAGATAGTGGAGTGGAGCTTGAGTTTCAAAGCCTTGGGCCACTGAATGAAAGAATGGTGCCAAACTCCCAAGTATAGAACCAAAGAGTAATGGCACTAGAGCATGGAATGAATCCCAAGCATATAGCCCAAAGAGTGAAGAGATAGAAGCACGAAGCGATTTGGAATAGTTATAGAGCATCTAACATCCCAATGCCAGAACCAACACGTAAAATGGTGCCAAATGGAGTCTGGCGTTATTTCAGCATATCGGTGGCCTAACATAAAGATATAAGTACTCCACCTGGAACTTAGGTTTAAACCCAAGCCGGATGTAGAATAAAGATAAACACACAAACGAGAGCTAGATTATGCCCCAAGTTGGTCAGCTATGCCCAACCTACCCATTATCCCTACTATACATTTGGAACCCCCTATATCCTGCTACACCTCCTCCCCCTCCCCCCCCCCCTGAGGAACACATGCTTTGGGCTTTCACCCAAGCTTCCCTTAGTATTAGGAGTTAGTTTCTGAGACAAGCTCGAAACTTACTAAATGTGGAATCCCCCTAAATTGTGAATTTGAACATGGGACAAACACCATTGTGTTCAAGACAATCTCTACATTCTGTAAATATGTCAAATGAGCAAATCTAAACACTTTTCATAAATAACATTTGGGACTAAAATGAGATTAATACAAAGAACATGATAGTGAGGGTATTGTAAGCTCTTGAGTTTTGGACTTCCCGGGAGGTCACCCAGCCCAGTACTATTCAAACCCAAGGACGCTTAACCCCAAGTATCCCAAGACCCTTAACCGATTGGAAAAGGGGGTGCACTCTTGTTCATGGGCCCTTTCCCTCTATATTTGAACCCCATGGATCGTCTCTCGAGTCGTTCCCTTTGGTTGCTTACAAGTATTTGGCAAACACAGTAAGCTATCGTTTAGTGAATATTGAGGGACGAAGCTCAATATTACAAGGGTTCTTAACACTAGCAAGTGCAAATCAACAACACGAGTTTCTCGTTACCATGTTTAGTATGCTTGATTTAATAATAACTTAGGATTTCCTTCTTTAGTGCCCTTCTGGCTTAAGTGCATATGTGCTAACCAGTTTCTCAACTAGCTTGGGTGGAGACCATAAGGGAACTAACAGTAGTAACCTTTTGCTATTATGGTAATATGGAGAGAGTGTATGTAAGGATTGGTTGACAAATATCTTTTGATACCTGAAGTCATATTTGCGACAAAAATGTGCTTGTGTTGTCATAACTATTGTAAGTAATGTTACTTCCAATAAACACACACATATGATTAACTTTTCTTTCATAAAAAGTATCAAAGATTTATCTACTTCTTGAGCAGTTAAAAATCTAATTAAAATTAAAATTAATTGAATTCAAAAAATTAAATCAATTAGTACCATAAAACTTCTCCAAGTAAATATATTACTTTCTAGTGTTGTGTTTCCCATTATAAAAATGGGATAAAAATCCTAATAACTATATTAATTAACATTTTAGTAAATTTAGAAACGTACTCATAGTAAATGAAGCCAATTGTTTTCATACCTATTAAATTACCTTTCTCATCTATACAATTTGAAAATTCAGTTCCATATATTGTAAACACTTTAAAAGCCTCTATATTATCAATAAATCATTTATTTTGATGACTTGTTAATGTCCAAGTTCTATGATCAATTTTTCCATCATGTAGCAGCCACATATTTTACTTCATTTTGCACACAACTAAGTCTTTTTTAGTACTTAATTCATCATTTTTACCAGTAATAGTTTTATATATAATTTCAAAAACATTCTTAAATATATGCGTGTAATCCTTTAAAAATGCTATTGGCAACTTATAAAAATATGGAAGTTGATAAAATGTGGATATAACCATTTCATACCATTAGGTAATGATATTTGATCTTCTTGTCTAACCAAATAATAATATGGTACCTATTTTTTTGGATTCATTTGTCCTAGTATTGGTCAAATATAATTATGACTATTAAATAAACTACTTAAAATTATGCTTTAGAAATAATAACTAAAATCTTACATTCTATTAGTAGACCTAAATAGATGATCTATAGGTAAGAAACACCAATGACCAATATATATGCTTTTTTATAAACTTCTTGACTATATTCTAAGAATCTAGATCCACAATCTGGGTAAAAGTATTTTCCCATTAGTTCAAAGTCTTGGAACAAAATCATAATCCAGGAAAATCATGAATAAACTATCACACTACTTCTCTAAGCTTAAAAAATTGTTGACCCTCTAGCTTAGAATTATCTTTGCATGGCACTCCATCCCATAATTGTTTTAACTCTTCCAAAAATAATAACCAATAAATATTAAGTACCTTAGGAAGTTTTGGGCCTAGAAAAATTATAGATATAAATATTTCAATTTATTTTTTTAAACTAATACCTAGTATAATCATAATAAGGAATATAAATGAAGGCTTAATTGCTAGAGTTGGTGGTATATTATTATTAATTGCAACAATTGCCTAACATGAATATATTTTTGCCATTAATTTTGTTGGAGAAAGATCATCTGCAGCCATACTAAGATGTATATTTCTTGGATCTACTGCAAAATCTGGATAATCATCTTCGAATTTTATTTTAAGTTGAACCATCTGCAGGCATTTTCATTATTCCATTAGTGGATTGATGATAAAATGATAAGTTATATATTGTGTTATTTCTCTATATTGAAATTATTGTTGGGTATAATAAATAAATAATGCATTATTTTCTCAGGTATATAATTATTAAAATCTTTGTGCTTGCTAGCATTAGAAATTCTACAAAATTGAAGGTCCTTATTCTCCTTATAAAATAACATACAATCATTCTTCCTTTTTTCTTCCAAAAGGTACTCTGACACTAGAGCATACAGTCAATCCAAGCTTGCAAACATCTTTCACGCCAAAGAACTGGCAATGAGATTCAAGGTATTCATCTAATGCTTTGAAATCTCTCCCACCTTTCTCTTTTGTCAATGCTTTCTCTTTTAGGCTGAAGGAGTTGACATCACAGCTAATGCTGTTCATCCAGAGTTTATAATGACACCTTTGATGTGGTACACATTCTACATAATGAGTTTGTCTCTTTGCCTTATTTGTTTTCGGTTACTTATGGAACTTTGATCTTCATGCAGGGGTTCTCAAGTTCCTCTCCAGCTTCCTTTGGAAAAATGTCCCACAGGTAAGAAAAATTCTCTCAATTATCTGGAAGTTTTTTGTGACTAATACGTGATCGATCTCTCAGGGCGCTGCTACGACGTGCTACGCGGCTTTACATCCAAGCCTCAAGGATGTCACCGGGCAATACTTCGTGGATTCCAACAAATCCAACTGTAGCGCTTATGGCAGAGATCCCGAGCTCACTCACAAGCTATGGACCTTCTCCCAGGAGCTTATAGACAAGCATTCTCCATCCTAAAGGTAAAAGGTTGATAGTGCTAGAGAGCGAGTGAGCAAACAAGGACAACTCAGCTGTTTACCATAAAGACGAATATGATTTATAATAATTTGTATAAGGTAAATATAATTACTTCTACACCTTAAACACCAACATGCAACTCTCATTCCTAAATCCTAAACAAAAAACTTAATACAGATCTGAGGAGAAAAACAAATTAGGAAATTATGTGTTAAAAGTGGGTACATTATACTACTATTAGTAAGTTAGTTGATGTAAATATTGTTGAAATTTATGACTAAAAATTTTGGAACTACAAACCTTAAGAACTTACATTTTAGTCACAGTTTAAAAGTTGTAAATTGCAACTCTAATTAGCAGCATATATGAACTTATCTAGCTTTAAAGAACAAATTATGATTTATATTTTAGTTGTAAAGGAAAACTATAATTTCCAACTTAAATTTGAGTAACTATAAAGCTATCACAAATTACAACTTAAAATTTGTAACTAAAGCCAATTTGCTACATTTAAGTTGAGTTGAAAATTACAACTTAGATTTCAAACAAACACAAAAATTTCGTTGGAAAAACATATCATTATAATGCTTTTATGTAGTAGTGTACGGACTCGCAGAAGTCAAGTCTAAGTCTTGACCTGCCGAAGTCCACATTGTATCCACCGTGGCCAAAAAATCACCACAAGAAAAAATTGTGCAAAGGTCTATGTTATGTAATATAGTTGATAGCCCAGTATACCAATGGCAAATCCCAAATCCCCCACTTTATTGACTACCAAGGCTTTCATCAAGGTTCAATCGGCTCGAAGTCAAGTGTGCCAAGAATTGATTAACATTTGTGCGTGTAAACTCTGCGAAAAGAAGAACCTCATCTTTCATGATAGCTCCCACTCTTTGATGTTCTGATCCATGGCCATGTCTCTCGCGGATTTGCTGCTGCCTTTGTTTCTACTCGTCTTTCTCACAAGATCCCGGTCACAGTGCCCCACAAATCCATCCGCAATCGTGAACGACACACAGGTTCTTCTCTCTCTCCGTGACAGGCTTGGCATCAAAGTGTGGAACGAGACTGCCGATCCAAGAGCATGGCGGGGAGTGGAGTGGAGCTCGGACAACCAAGTGGAGGGCCTCGCTCTGTCCAGGTTTAATCTCTCGGGAGTTTTTCCTGCCACCTGGGCCGAGCTTCCATCGCTGGCTCGCCTGGACCTCTCGCAAAACGGCCTCTCCTCGCTGGAAGTCCCTTGCAAAAATACGCAGCTCAACCTCCTCAACTTGAGCTCCAATTCCCTGCAAGAGTTCCCCGGAAATCTCTCCAACCTCAAGAGTTTGGAAAGCCTGGACCTCAGTGGGAACTTCTTAACAGTGGCCGGACTCCCAAAGTTTAGCTTGACGCTGCGATCGCTCAACCTGTCCATCAACAACTTAACTGGGAGCTTTTCCATTGGTGGTAACCTGGGACTGGAGGCACTGGAACTCTCGCAGAACGGACTCAGCGGCTCCATTCCAGAAACTTTCGGGGAGATGACGAACTTGACGCGCCTGGACATATCGTATAACAGGTTTAGAGGAGATCTACCCGATATTTGGAGCAAGAACTTGGAGCTCAGGTACATGCGTATCTCCAACAATTCGCTCCATGGTGGTTTGCCACCGAGCTTGAGAAGGCTACGCAAGCTCTCTGTTTTACGCGCTGCATACAACTCTCTCTCCGGGCCACTGGAGCTGGAAGATGGCAACTTTGCAAGCATCGAGGTTTTGAACCTCGGGCTAAACGGGTTTAGCGGAACGATCCCGGCTACGCTGGGAAGCTTGAGGAACTTGAAGATCCTGGTTCTCACGGGGAATCATTTTAGTGGCGCCATACCACTGGAGCTTGGAAACTGGTCGAACATCAGAGAGATATGGCTTGACAGCAATAACTTGACTGGAACAATCCCAGGCGAGCTCTCGAAGCTCTCGCATCTCCAGAGGGTGGTTCTCACGGGGAATCGTTTTAGTGGCGCCATACCGTCGGAGCTTGGAAACTGGTCGAACATCAGGGAGATATGGCTCAACAGCAATAACTTGACTGGAACAATCCCAGGCGAGCTCTCGAAGCTCTCGCATCTCCAGAAGCTGGTTCTCACGGGGAATCGTTTTAGTGGCGCCATACCTCCAGAGCTTGGAAACTGGTCGAACATCAAAGAGATATGGCTCGATAGCAATAACTTGACTGGAACAATCCCAGGCGAGCTCTCGAAGCTCTCGCATCTCCAGCAGCTGGTTCTCACGGGGAATCGTTTTAGTGGCGCCATCCCAGGCGAGCTCTCGAAGCTCTCGCATCTCCAAAGGGTGGTTCTCACGGGGAATCGTTTTAGTGGCGCCATACCTCCGGAGCTTGGAAACTGGTCAAACATCAGGGAGATATGGCTCAACGGCAATGATTTGACTGGAACAATCCCAGGCGAGCTCTCGAAGCTCTCACATCTCCAGCAGCTAGTTCTCAGCAGTAACGACATCGGTGGGGAGCTCCCTTCCGGACTCTCCAACTGCACTGAGCTCGTCGTTCTCTGGCTGGGGCAGAACAAGTTCTCTGGAAATCTCCCTGACAGCTTCGGGAATTTGAGCCGCCTGCTCCTTCTGTCGCTTTCCAGCAACGATCTTGTCGGTTCAATCCCGGCCATATTGCAAAACATGTCGTCTCTGCAGTTCCTCTTCCTCTCAAACAACAGCTTCAGCGGCTCCATACCGGACTGGCTTCCCAGGCTCACGAACTTACGAGCCATGGACTTCTCGGTTAACAGGTTCTCTGGGGAGATGCCGGAAAGCATTGGCCGACTGTTTGCCAACGTCCAGCTTTACAACAAGAACAAACGGTCTGTGATGATTCAAACCACGCGAGGACTCCTCTACAACGGCTTCGCCTTCCCGACCTCCATAGACTTCTCCTTCAACCAGCTGACTGGAAGCATTCCAGCTGCCATTGGCGACCTCTACAAGCTCCAGGTGCTGCACCTGAGCCACAACCAGCTAACAGGTCCCATTCCCGAGTCCCTGGGGAAGGCAAGGAATCTCTCCTGGGTGGCGCTCGCGAGCAATCGTCTCAATGGCTCCATACCATCGTCCGTGGCGGACCTCTCGTTTCTCACCATCTTCGACGTCTCCAACAACAGCCTGGTGGGACGGATACCTGACAGCCCGCAACTCTCGTCCATGGACGCGGCTCTCTTCGCTGGGAATCAGCTCTGTGGCTTGCCACTGACCAACACCTGTTCGAGCACTGCTATGCCGCCACATAAGCTTAGAACAGAGGGACAAGGTGGTAGCGAACAGGACCAAAGAGAGGTGATAACACTTGTCAGCGTTGCCATCTTCGTGGCAGCCTTCTTCAACGCGTTCTTCTGGACCTACTTTGCGGCAAACCGCAGAGCTCATTCCCAGCTCTGTGGATGCTGGCAATCAAATCTCTAGCTCGTCCACCATGTTGCTGCCGTCCTTTCTACCTTCCAGTTTGTAATCCATCACGACTGCTTGATGAAGTGAACTCTTCTTATCCGCTTTCAAGGCCGCCTCCTGTATAGTCTTGAGCTTATCATGATCCTCCCACAGCCCCGCGCTCCGGTAGATGCTCGCCAGCAGAACGTACGCAGCCGAGTCATTCTCGTCGATCTTCGTCAGTGCCTCGAACGCACTTCCACTTACAGCAGGCCCCGAGGACGCTCCTCCAAACCACAGCATCCGCTCTCAAAGGCATGCTCTCGAGGACTTTCACGGCCTCTTCCAGTCGGTTAAGAGATCCACCAAGCTGCTGTAGTGATGAATCCCGCAAAAAATGCCAGAGTCCGGGTCCATTGCCTGGAAAAACTCCCTGCCTCGTTCAACTAGGCCGCCGTGGCTGCAAGCAATGATGACCGAGACAAACGTGATTGCGTTTGCTCGCACGCCATCTTCTCGCATCTCACGACAGGCTTCGAACATGCGCGACGTGTCACCCTGTTGGCCGAATCCTGTGATCAGTGCATTCCAGGCGACGATATCTCGGACTGCCAGAGATCCAAACAAGTGCTCGCACTCATAACTCCGCACTTCCTGTAGAAGTTTACTCCCCACAACTTGATCGTCTTCCAGCCCACGCCTGTAAAGCTCAACCTGGATTCCTTCCAGCTAGGCCGTAAGTGCTACAAGAGTCCGAGAGGTTGGAGCACAGTCCACTCCAAGAGTTCCAGCCCGAGCTCACTCTCACCGTTGTCTATATATCCCTGTATCGAGCTCGTCCAAACGACAACGTCCCGGCTAGGCATGCGTTTGAAAACTGCTCGAGCTTTCACCATATCTCCACACTTGGCATACATATCCACCAAGCTGCTCCCAGCGTCCAAACTTCGCGGCGAGAGAATGAATCTCCATCCCCTTTTCTAGGCTCTGGATTCGCACTAGCTTTCCATCTTCTCGCGGAACAGGTGGCTCGGACGCTGAAAGGTGGACGCAGGCCATGAGCGCAGCAACAAACGTTCTCTCGTCCGGATCGTTCTCCCGAGCCATGCCAAAGAACAGCTCCAAGGCCAGCTTGCTGTCTCCACTTACATCGGCCAGCCATGCCATCGAAGACCTTGCGAGCTTCCTCTAGCTTCTCACACTTCGCGTACATATCGATCAGAGTGTTCCCCACGAACACGTCCTCACAGCACCTGCTGTTTGAAGCTTCACCGTGGATAGCCACCCCGGTTTCCAAGCTCTTTCTCTTCACGAGTTTGCCGTCGACATCCACCGCTTCTTCTCGCATTGCCGAGCTCGCACAGGCGGCAAGCGCAGCAACACACGTCCGAGAGCTTGGACAGCACCCAGATAGCTTCATATCTTCGAAGAACACGAGAGCCAGCTCGCTTTCCCCGTTGTCCACAAAGCCTTGTATCAAGCTCGTCCAGAGCACGACATCACGATGAGGCATGCTCTCGAAAACCATCCGCGCGTCGACCATGCTCCCACACTTTGAGTACCTGTCACTTGGCTGCTCCCCACGAAGATATCTCCACAGCAGTGGCTTTTCACAGCTCCATCGTGAACAGCGAGCTCCTTCTCCAGGCTCTTCGTCTTCACCATCTTTTGGTGGCCTCCTCTTTCACTGCTAGATTCGCACAGCCCTTGGCAGCAGCAACGAAAGTCCGAGAGTTTGGCGAGCAGCCCATCTTCCGAAAGAACTCGAGAGCGACCTCGCTTTCTCCATTCTCTACGTAGCCCAGTATCAACGCGTTCCAGGAGACCACGTCTCGCTGTGGCTCTCATCGAAGACCGATCGAGCATCGGGCATGATGCCGCACTTAGCTCGAGAGGAAAACGTCTTCGCTGCAAGACGGTCCCATCTGCTTGGCTTGAGAATGGATGCCTCTGCCGGTCTCGAGACTAGCCTCCTTGACGAGCTTCCCATCGACCAAAACAGCGTCTTCCTTCGCCGCGAGGCTGCTACAAGCCTTTGCCGCGTCCTGGAGTTTGGCTTGCAGCCCGACCGCCTGGCTTGCATCCTCTCGAAGAGATCCAGAGCCACATCGCTCTCGCCATTGGAGACGTAGCCCAGCATCAAGGACATCACGTTTGGGTGAAGAATGCTGTCGAACAGTCCTCCATGCTGCCGCATTTCGCGTACATGTCCACCAGCGCATTGACAACAAGCTGCTTGTTCTCCGCCGCCTGGCCGTGGATCGCCCAGGCGCAAATTGCCCTTGCGCAAATCCCTTGTGACCTTCAACGCCGACACCTGCTGATCGGGCGCCCGCGGCGGCGCTGCCGAAGGAGCGAATGCCGGTGCGGCGCATCGAATCGCTGCCATCACCAAGTCTCATCCATCGCAAGAACCCTAAAAATTTGCTAGCAACATGGAAATTCAATCAAGGCCGTCGATTCAAGAATATCTGACGGTTGGAATGAATCGGGGATGGAAATGCTCGGCCTCCGAATGCTCGATGCTGAGGTACTCAGGAAAAATCGCCCTGTACAACCCAGCGTAGCCTTGGGTGCGAACAATGTGCCTCAGCGCGCTCGCAATCCCAGGCTTGTAAGCCGGTGTCCATCTCCGGTCGCCCTCCGAGTTAAGTCGATCGGAAACACCGCTGAAAACAGGAACTATGGCGATCAAGCGTAATCGCTCTTGAGACTCTTACCTGTTGAGGCAGCGATTCCTGCTACTCCACCGGAGATCAAGCTCGTCACCATCCTACTCGGGCCTGAAAGTAACCATGCAATGCCAGGAGGCCTAAGCATGTCAAAACTGTGTTTACCAATGCGATGGTGCTCTGTGCCTGTAAAGCTTTTCCAAAAATTTCTCACTCTGAAACTAAAAATAATCCAACTTTGAGCGTTCCAGTAGTTGTAGAGAGTGTCATACAAGCAGAAGTTTATTGCAATCGTTGGGCCTATGGCAGGAGTCAAGTCTGTGGCATTTGGCAGGGAGGAAAACCAATACCAAAAGCGTCGGTCAGAGTTCCTTATAAAGGCTAAGAAAGCTCTCCTGTTGATGGATTGTGGAAAGCGTGTGATAGATGTGGACGCACAGCAACATCTACACGCAAGAACACAAAAGCTGTAAAGGGAACAACTAACAACAAAGATCACAAAGCTCAAGGTGAGGAAATTCAGGAGAAGATTCCAGAACAAGATCCTGAACATGTAACCACCTTGCAGGTTCCAAACTGACAGGTGTCAAACCAGTGTAACGTGAACATGACCCAGCAGGAGCAGTCTCCAGCATCCCCACCGCACACAGCAACACCAACACAACTAGCTCTCAATGCCGACACCGACAACATGCTACATCACGGCAAACACCACAGTTGAGAGCATCCCGAGCAAGAGTGATGCTGCAAGCCTGAGCTTACACTGGATCTTAAGCTTGGCATTTCTCCAGTTTGTGGACAAAATGCAATGTCTCCAGTCAACACCATAGATGCCAATACCAGCAAATTTTGCAAGGCTTTTCCACGACAAGCAGATGAGCATTTTCATGTGAGACAAAGTCCAATCAACACCTTTGTCTACCAGCCCCTAGATGTGAAGTTCACGAAGATCCAGAACCATATTTTCCAGCTCAAGAGGAGCATTCAAGGTACAATTTTCTAGGAATTTGTATGCACAAAGACTTAGCACATGAATAAAGAACTCCCCAAGGAGAATGCAGAGCTTCACAATGAGATCTGACAACTCAAGGTGAAGCAGCTATAGGGATAGGGTGCGCTACAACAGAAGAACAAGTTCAAGAATGAGCTCTCTGGAGTCATAGTAACAATAAAACAGCCCAATGCTATGGAGAAATGAGAGCTTCAAAATGAAACTCAACTCAGTTATGGGAGAAAGTGGAGCATAGAAAATCAACGTTATATTTAGAAACATCATCCTAAGTCTTGAAATTTAAATCTTAAGACTGGCAGTTGCCAGAACTTATTAAGGAGGTGAGTTAACACTCAAACTCTATCCCTTTCTTTTGTATTCCAACTTTCCATCATCAATGCACATCTATTTGTGCAAAATCTACAGTACTCAAGTGATGTTAAGTTTATCTTTGCTCATGACTTCAACAAAAGCCTTCATAGAAATTGAAGGACTCAAGTCATTCCTTTTTTACTTTTTATATGTTTATTTGTGTTTAACTGAAGCAAAATGCAAAATCAAGTCAAACAAGTGTAGTAGTAAGCATCCACTTTACTCTTACCTTCTTTTATCTTTCACTCTTATTTTCTTTTCCTCTTTCTTTTTTTTCTAGTACAAGCTTTTAGCATACAGACTTTTACCCAAGTTTCTAGGAATGGCTTGTTTTAACATTTAAAGGAATGATTGCAAAACATATAAAATTTTAGCATTTAAATTGGGATGGATATTTGTCGTTTCTTTGGTATACATATATCATAGGGTATAAAGTTCCATTGGTGCTTCACTTTATAAACTTTTATGTGGTCATTATTTGATACTACTAATGGAGTTGAGTTTACCTTCGTGATTGCTATAAAATGCCAATACTAAGTCTTGGGATCAACATTTGATGAGTATTTTTCCATTCATTCAAGTGGAGTTTATTGAGCATTTAAGCTATGTATAAGTGGGATAATAACAACACAACAACTTCCATCATCGTCCACCAATGGAGTATAAAGTGGATGATTTGGTGTTAATCCATTTTCCTAATGTTACAATATATGGTTTGTGTAAGGGGCTCTTTATTCAGTGGAAGAGACTATATTAAGTGTTTTGGTAAGTTAAACTGCATGTTTATAAAGTTTGGCAAAACATTCAATAAACTAATCCTCCAGAAATTATATATATGCAATAACTTAAATGCTTTGTATAAAGGGATCAAACACTACCTATAATCCACCAGTGCCTCCTTCTGATGTTCCTCTAGATCCTAGTCTCTCAACTTGAAAACCTTAACTACCTTTCATCCTTCTAAAAGAATAAGATAATATGAGGTCTAAGTGTATAGCTATGATATTGTATATAAATATTAGTATAATTTTCAAACCACTCACTTTTGTATATAAACTATGGTTTTTGGGCTAATTAAGATGCATATTTCTATATACACTAAGAGTGCTACTTAAACTATAAGTGAGGCTAGAAAATAAACCCTTTTATGGCATCTTTTTTAATATTAGATCAAGAGAGTAATAAATAACTCAATGAAGTTATCAGTCTTTATACTTTTTCTTAGTGAAAATCTTATAACTTAATATACATATCTAATCAATATAATTCATTGGGAGTAGGTAAAAATACCATAATATAACTAGTAAATTTTAGAAATATAATAAATTTACTTTTAAATAGGACAGAAAAAAATTAAAAAAAGAATGGATAAAAGTGAAAATACAAGTGATAGAGAAGAAACCATTGATATTTTATCCACTTGAAAAGTTCTTCACCACTTAAGAAATAATAAGCTTAAATAGAATATTAATTATATAGTATTTTAATTCCTTTTGAAAAATTAGATATCCTCAATGTTTTTAAGAGGAGAAATTTAGAAGCTGTAAGCTCCTGAATTTAGAATTCCCAGAAGGTCATCTAGCCTAGTACTATTCAAACCCAAGAACATTTAATACAAAATATCCCAAAACTTTTAATCGATTGGAAAAAAAGGTACACTCTTATTTATAGGCCTTTTCCTTTTATATTTGAACCCTATGAATTATCTCTCTCTTTGGTTATTAAGAATCTACTACACTTCTTTGCAAATTCATGCCTTTGAGAATGGAAGTTGAGAGCAATAGCTCTCCAGAAAGCCCTGCTCTTTTGACACCCTACCCCTTGGGTTGAACCTAGCCGGAGCAAATTGAACCTGCCAAATATCAATTAACATATAGTGCAATTCCCTTAACCAACCAACAATATAGACTGTTTCTTGAGTCATTTTTTTTGGTTGCATTTTAAGTTACCAAATGGTATTACTTAAAAAACAAGCAAGTATATTTCTAGGGGCAATTTGTAATGCATGTGGTTTTTACCTTTTATCTTATAGTGATTTACTATAAGATAAAAATGAAGTGGAACATAAACCCTCTATGTGCCACATGTCATCCAAAGGACTTTGAGTTTCAGGGCTTTGGGCCAATAGTGCCAAACTCTTAAGTATGGACCCAAGGAGTGAAGGTATTATAGCACAGAGTGACTTGAAACAGTCCTAGAGTATTTAATATCCCAATGCTAAGACTAACATATAAAATAAAGCCAAATGGAATTTAACATTATTTCAACATACTAATGGCATAATACAAGGATATAAATACTCCACCAACTAACATCATATGAAACTTAAGCTTAAACTCAAGCCAAATACAAAACAAGGACAAACACGCAAGCAAGAGCTAAATTATACCTCAAGTTAACCAGCCATGCCCAATCTACCCACTATCCTTATTATATATATGGAACCCCTATAACACCGAACTAGAGCTTGTAGAGGAACGTCACCTTTTGTACCACTTCTTGCACGGAGCTTTTGTCAAGGTCTCCTTCCAGGCTCTCCACAAGATATGACATATGGTATGCTTGAACCTGGCTGGGAAAGAGCTTCACCACCTCCGTGACGTTCAAGTAGTGAGTATGAACCTCTTGGAGAAGGTGATGGAGCATCGCATACGCGATGGTGATGCCGTCGTGCGTGCTGGTTCCTCTTCCCAGCTCGTCGATGACTACCAGCGAGCGAGAAGTTGCCTTGTGGAGAATAGTTGAAGCTTCACTCAGCTCCTCGAAAAACGTACTGGAGCCCCTCTGGATTCTGTCCATCGCCCCCATTCTCGTAAACACGGCATCGAATACATGCAGTTTGGCTGTCGCGGCTGGAACATACAATCCTATCTGCACGATAACAAAACATACGGAGTGAAAAGAAATAAAGATAGTTGCGAACCTGGGACATGATTGTGATTAGAGCAACTTGACCGATGTAGCAACTTTTACCACCCATTTTTGGACCAGTGATTATTTGCGATCGTTCACCCTCACCAGAAACAACTGTGTCATTTGGTACAAATGCATCTTGCAGAGTCGAATCTAGGACCTGCTCACGGAAAGACATTCCAGTAAAAATATTAAACGACAAGAGCAAAAGAAACAAACCGGATGTCCTATCTTCAAAAGGCACGCTTCATCCACGAACTCCGGTCGAACATACCCCTGAAGCACATTATTCATTCAGATAAGCGTTGAAAAACACAAGGAGACAGACCTGATTGCACGAGACAACAGCAAGGGAATAAAGACAGTCGAGAGCTGCTAGTGCCTGTACTGCAGCCCGGAACTCCATGTGATAGGAGGTAAAGTCAGTCAGGAACATGTCCCATGCTTTGGCGCAAGATATATTTAATTGCTCCTTTGCAAGTGCCATTCTTTCCGATGCTTCCAAGACCTCCGGAGGATGATAGCGGTTTGCCTTTTTCGTACTGTTTATTTTAACCCAATCTGCGCGCACATGGAACCTGAAACTACAAGCTTTTAGCAATCAAATAACTGAATTGAGAAAAAGAAAGTACCTCGACCAAAAACGACGTTCCCGAGACGCTCAAGTATTCCAGATTTGAACACTTCAACAGTTCCCGATAACTGGGAAGAAAACTTTCGAGATCCTTCTCAATACTTTTTATGGTCTCTTTGCATTCGTCTACCTGAAGCACGACTTAAACGAAGTCTGGGAAACGATAACAAACCTCGGGAAACTGGCCGGCAACAAACAAGTTAATCTTATCCCCGGCAGCTGCTGCCTCTGCATTCAAACTTGTCACAAGCTTGTTTGCGTGATCTATCACTGAAGTTGAAGTCACTGCGGAGA